CTGGGTTCAAGTTTGAGCTAGTATCAAGTTTGTGTGGCTCAGTGGTAAAGCACTTGCCTTGCATGTGTGAGGCACAGGTTCGATCCTCAGCACACATTAAGTAAATAATAAAAATACTGTGTGTTCAAAAAGAAAGAAAGAAATCAGAGACCTAGACTTGCCCTCCTTGTGTAGTGTTCCTGTTTATCTAAGTGATGCAAACTTATACCTGGAAATCTCTGGTCTCTTCCTTTCTGAAGAAATAGAAGGAAACAGGACACAAACTTGCTACCAGCTCAGCTGTCCCCTTCACCCCTTCCATCCCCACCTGCCTTGTCCTTTTGTCTGTCAGGCTGGAGGCAGCATCTGGGGACCTTGAGGCTTCACCCAGGCTGCTTGTTCTTAGAGCCCCAGAGGGAGTGTCCGGGCCCTGTTCCTCTTGCTTATCTCTTATTCCTACTTTTGCTTTTGCTCTGTTCCTCTTTCCTGCTGTTCATCCAAGTTTCTGATTTAGCTTGGGGACAAGACAGGTTGCTTTCAGGGGTGAGCAAGATAGGGTGGCATGGAGAGGAGAGGGAAGGATCATCAGGTGCCAGATGAAATGGCTCAGGGAGAGGTGTCCACTAGGGCCTGGAGAAGCAAGAACCCAGAGCTTGACTGTGTGTCCCTCCTTACTCTCCAGGTGTTCCTCCATGAAGCCACTGTGCGCTTAATGGCAGGAGCCAGCCCTACCCGCACCCACCAGCTGCTGGAGCACAGCCTTCGGCGGCGCACCACTCAGAACACCAAGCATGGTGAGTCCTGCGGGGAGGGGGGGCAGCCCAGCCCAGCCCAGCCCAGCCCAGCCCAGTTCCAACACCTGGCAGGGTGCACTCTGACACCTCTAAGCCCCATCGGTGGTGTGAGAATGAAAGGATCCCCAGAATTGACTGGGTGTGCTGGGGGCATGGGCAGTAGTTGAGTGGGTCCGCCCTTGAGGGAGGCTGGGCATGGAGTTCCAGCACAGGAGCAGGGGTGGGAGACCACAGGTTCTGTCCCCGCAGGCCTTAGCTTTACAGCACCAGGCAGGTTAACTCCCCATGTGTGAGCTAGGGAGCGTGCTCACCTCACATGAGCATGGGGTTCCAATCAGTGAGTGCGGAAATCCCCTGAACAGCACCTACATGTTCTCCTCGTTCCCACAGGAGAGGTGGACGCCTGGCCTGGCCAGCGAGAGCGGGCTACCGCCATCCTTCTGGCTTGCCGCCACCTTCCCCTCTCCTTCCTCTCCTCCCCGGGCCAGCGGGCTGTGCTGCTGGCTGAGGCTGCCCGCACGCTGGAGAAGGTGGGCGACCGGCGCTCCTGCAGTGACTGCCAGCAGATGATTGTCAAGCTGGGAGGTGGCACTGCCATTGCCGCCTCCTGACCACAGGCTTAGCCCACCTCCCTCCACTTCTCTCAGTCTCTTTCTCCCAGGCTCATCCTCTCTCTCAGGCCCTGTCTTCCTCTTCCCTCTGTCCTTTGCCCTCCTCCCTCTGAGCTGGAGGTGAGCCTTGTCCTCTGAGCTGTCTACCTGCTGAGGCTTTTGGACCACCTCAGGCCAGAGAGCCCCTGGGCTGCTGTCAGTAGACACCTGTGGTCCAGGCCCTAGCTGGCTGAGAGGAGAGGCTGTGAGGCAGAAATGGGGGTGTCCCTTCAGTTGAAAGCAGCAGGGGACACTGCCAAACCCACGCCTCCAGTCCCAAGACTCCGAACATCTCCCCTTTCTGCTTCCTTGTTTTTTATCAGGCTTTCTCTCTAGGGGACAAGGTCTCTGGGCACCAGAGAGCACTTTGCCCTCAGCATAGTGCCCAGCATGCCCCTCCCCCTTTTTATACGAATGTTTTTATATCTTTGTGCTTGGGGCTGCCGTGATGCAGGGCAAAGTTGCTGTGGCATCTTTTATTTCTTTCCCTGGGTTTGCATTCCCTCCCCTGTGCCTGACTAAGCCAGTTCATTGTTTTCTCGTCATTATTCGGGACAGCCAGGGAAGGAGGGGAACCCAGCCCTGGGGAGGTGGGTGGGAGGCAGGGGTTGGCCTGGGGATGGATGAAATAATGTTGGCATTATTTTTTAATTTTTTAAAAAATAAATGGTATCTTATTTAATTGTCCTGTTCCTTCCCACTCCCTTACCCCCTGGGATGCCAGCCCAAGCTCAGGGTGGGCCCAGAGGACTGGAAGGGACAAAGCCGCCTATTAGGCCTGGGGACCAGGGGTCTTCAACATGATTCCTTAGTTCCTTCCTGCCCCCACCCTAACTCCTACCTCCATAGTATATTTTTATCCCTAATTCTTGTCTTGAAAATAAGCCAGGGTGGCAGGGACCAGCCCCAAGCCCCAGTGGCAAGCTCCTCCTTTGGGGGTGGGTATTAGGAACAAGGTCCCTTGCCTTGATGGGACTCCTAGGAAGAAAAGTCCTTTTCTATATCCCCTGGCTTAGGGTGTCCCTGGAGACACTATTTCCCCAGGGCCTCCTGAGAGACTGAGCGGACCCCTCCCTTGCTTCTCATCCCTTCAAGCTGGTTGGGGCAGGATAGGCAGGAGCCCCAACACAGCTAGGGAGTGCACACAGCAGGGCCCCTCATATGCTTGGACCCCAGCCCCCTTTCTATCTCTTGCCCTTCCCCCACTGTCACTATAATTTATGGACCCTGCCCACTTGGGCAGCTGGGCCTTTGTGTCATGTGTATATACTGTGCCTTTTCTCATTGTTAGGGGTGGGAGGGGTTTGTTTTTCACTGAAAAGGGGGATACACCTATGGCTTCCTTGATGTCAAATCATTCACCATGTCCTGGACCTAGGTTATTCAATAAACACAGATTGGTACCACCTAGCACAAGGTGTATGAGGGTCTGTAGTGTGACTGCTTAATGACTGCCAATTGGCTGCATGGCTCGGCTGTCAGTGGGCCAGGGAAGAAGGCCAGCTTGCTATCTCCAGTCAAAGACCTTCCTTGCCTGCCAGCATGCCTGTCCCCTTTCTTCCAGAGCCTGGTATATGCTCTAAGAATGGTCCAAGGCCTGGGATTAAAGGGTTCTGGGAAGTATTGCCTGGGGTCACTGTATCCAGGTACCCTGGATGTACAGCTGGGTTGGCTGACAACAGTTCTTTGGGACCTGGAGGCGGGAGGTTCCCAATGGATAGGCCCCTCCTTTGTTTGCCCTTCCCTGAAGGCAGTGGCCCTCTGAAATGGCTCACTGGCCTGCAAGTCAGACCTGAGTCCAGCTCCTGCACTTCTCAGCTGGGTCCAGTAGTGGATCCACCTAAGGAGGGAACTGGCCTCTCAACCCCCACTTCCATGGGTAGAGAAAAGGGTTGCCCATCCCTGCCTTCAGTAATCCCATAAGCTTGTGGGCCAGCTTCGAATGACGTAACTAACACATCATACCTTGTGCCAGACCAGTGAGAGGCCAGGGCCAAGGCCACGAGAAGCATTGGGATGGATGGATTGGATCTTGAAGGTGGAGTCAGGGAAGTCGTGGAAATGAGCCTGGAGCTTAACTGCAGTCCAAAGCTGGGCCCTGTTCCCCTGACCTAAGAAACAGCTATGAGCCACACCCTTTCCTGAAGGGCAATCACAGCAGGCCGCACTGTCTAAAGGAGTATAGCAGCCAGGAGGGTCCAGCTGCAGCAGGTCCTGTCCAGAGTTACAGGGTCAGCATATCCAGTAGTGGTCACTGCCAACAGCTGTAGCCTAACTCTAGCAGGATGGAGATAGAGGCTCCTTGAGACTGAGAGGGAAGGATTGGGCCTGCCTCCCAGCCCCGCCCAGCCAGGGCCTGTGTCACCATGGTGGGTGGCCTGTGTGCTCAGGAACCTGAGCCTTTTGTGAGTCTCAGCAGGTTCCATGACTCAGCACCTGCCCCCCACACACACATACACACACACAGCTGTGGGATGGAGTGCCCTAGCCCCCTGTCTCCCTACCCCAAGTCTCCCCCACAGGCCTGGAGATCCTTACTGCTGGCAGGACCATGGGCTCTGGACTCTGTCCTGGAACTTCTAGGCCTTGATTTCTTCAACAGCTTCCAATAGGTGGGGGCCTAAGACCAGGCCTCCCATGCCCTGGGGCAGGCGCCCCTCACCTCCAATACACATGTTCCCCACACTGCCTGCACTTGCCTTCCCACCAGCAGACCACCTGGCAAACCAACATGGGAGGAACCTAACCTGGGAGTCAGCCTAGTAACCCCAGGCAAGTTATTTAGGTCCCAAGACCTCAATTTCCTTGTCTGTAAAAATACACCCCCATGGGGCTCAAACAGTATACCCCCCAGGGAACACAGGAGGGAAATACTCAACTGGGTGTCACTGGATGTCTGTCGGGATCACACACCTCAACTGGCTGTAGTGCAGTACTACCCCCACAACAGTACCTGGCACCAAGGAACTTGGGAAAGATACACACAGGCTGCTAGCAACGCCCTGGGCCAAAGCCAGGTACCAGGAGCCCTCCTGGCAGGAAGGAGGAGAGCTGGCAGTGCCAAGCATGTGCCCTGTGAGGGGGGGGGCACTGCCAGTCTCCTGCTCCAGCTTCTATCCCAGAGCAGCTCCTGGAAGAAGGCACCTCTATCCTGAATACCAGATGTAGGCATGGCGCGCCACCATTTCGGGAGTGGCCCTAGGCCAATCTTGTCGAGCAGCTCTCAGGCCAGGGGCTGGCCCAGAGCCAGACAATGTCAGTGAGGATCAGCCAAGTTTTGCCAAGTCAAGCTGTTAGAGCAGGTGACCAGCTGGGGGGCTCACCTCCAGTAAAAGGCACAGATTCCCCAGAGAGCCCAACAGCTCTCTCCCTGTGCCCGGAACTTAAGATGACTGAGGTGTAACTGCCTCCCTCCCACGACTCTGACTGGTGTGGGTCTTAAGAGTGGCATTCAGCCCTGGCCACCCTCTCCAGCCACTTCTCCCTGGATCCCAGCACAGCTGCCCACCAGTCTACCAGTGATCCTCTGCTCCGCCCTTTGCCAGCACTGCTGTCTATTCAATGACTGATGCTGCCATCAGCAGGAACCACATTAAAGGATTTATTTACACGAGGAATCCGGGGCCTGTGGACCCAAGGATGGAACCACCGGTCATACCAGTAGGTCTTTTCTCAGCCCTGCAGTAGGTCTTTTCTCAGCCTCCAAGGCCCCCAGTCTAGTCTCGATGGATGCCCGCGTTGGGCTCCTCCGTGCCCTGGGGCCCTGGACCAAGCAGTCGAGGGCTTCGGGCTCTGCCTCCGTTGGGTGGCCCAGCTTCACACGGTGACCTCGGTTTTGCTGTTGGTGCTCAGGTGCCGGGGTCCGCGGCCCGCACTACAGTAAAGGCCTGGGTGCTGCACGCTGAAGGCCTCAGGCAGCTTCTCCACGCTGAACTGGCGCCGCGGAGCGTGGCCGGGCCTCCGGGGTGCAGGAGAGGCATGGGCCGCTAGGTGGCCGCGGGGGGCGGGCCTGGCAGGGCGCCCGGCGGTCCAGGCTGCGTAAGGCCCCGGCGGAGCGGGGGCGGTAGGGGCCACGTAGCCCGGGGGGGCCCAGGGGCAGGCCTCGAGCAGCGCGGGCAAGTCCTCTGGAGGCCTCGGGGCCCGCGCCGGGAGGGTCCGCGGGGCCGACTCGGCGGTGGGAAAACGCTGGTAGAAGTCCTGGGGGGCGGCCTCTGTGGGGACAGTGCGGGACCCGTCAGGCTGCGCGGATCCCGTGCCGGGAGCCCGGGAATCGGGCCGGCGTAAGGGGTCCCAGCCCCGTGGCTGGCCAGGGGCGGGGTCAGTGACAGGCCGAGGGGGCAGCCGATTGGCTGCGTGGGGGCGTCCCGAGCGCGGATTGGCCGAGCCAGACTGGCTGGGAACCCCGCAACTCTGCGCCGGGAGCCGAGCCTTGCGGTAAAGAAACTCGGGGGACCCGGGGCTCTGGCGGCCGCGGCAAGCATCGGGCCACTCACCTGCCGCCTTGAGCGCGGCTGCCTTGAGCGTGGCGTACTTGGCGTAGTCGGGCTGCAGCGTAAAGTTGCCGCCTCCTTGCAACCGGGGTCGGCGTGGGGGCGCGGGCGTGGCGGACCCCAGGGCGGCGTTGTTGAGGCGTTTCTTGTCTGGGAAAGGGCGGGGGAAGTAAGGCGAGGCTCTGCGCCAACCCGCACGCTCCACCTGCGCCACCCCGCTTCTTGGCCCCCTCCCCAAATGCAGCTCAGTAGAACCCTGGGAATCGCTCTCCGGGCGATCAGAGCCTGTCTTCCCTTCCCAGCAGAATGTCCAGCTCCTGGAACGGGGCCTGACTCAGAAAGCCATCAATGGCAGCCAGCCCCGAAGGGTGCTACCCTAATGGACGGCTCGCCAGCACGTTAGGCCTGAGCCAGGTGCTGAGTCCCAGGACCAGCTCCCCGCAGAGATGGAACCTAGTTGGGGTAGCGGGGCCTGCCAAGTGCTGCCTCCCTATTGAGAGGCTGAGAGAGGCTCCAGACCCCAGGGCACAGAGCCAGAGCCTGAGAACCACAGCCCCAGCCAGCAAATAAATCCTCAATCTGGAGCCTTCATCACAGAATCACAGTCTCTGAGACTTAAGTTGTAGGAGGGTCCCTCTCCACCAAGGGCAGGTGACTGGCCTGTCCAGCAGCACTCACACACCTGCAGAGGCAGGCAGCTCGTTTCCAAGGGGAAGCAGCAACTAGGAGCCTCCCTTCCCCAGTCAAGCGCCCAGCTCCTGCCCCTCTGTATAGCCCTTCCCGACCACGCCCACCAAACCGATGCCCCCTGCAAATTAGCCAGTACTGGCCCACAGCCTACTCACCTGTGCTGTTGTGGGGGGACCCTCGGGGAAGGCCATCTCCCATCTGCACCTGGACACAGCTACCCAGGGGTGGGCCCAAAGGTGGAGGCAGTGGTTCCTGGGGGCCGGGTTGCTTCAGAAGTTCTGTCAGTGTCCTGTAGGGACAAGGTAGTGAGGGGTGGCCCTCTCAATCCCCCAGTCAGCCAGATTCTGACCTATGAAAAGCCAGCCCTGGCAACCACAGTCTCACTGTGTGGCCTTGGGCCGTTTGTTCAACTTCCCTGGGCCTCCCTCCCTTTCTCCTATGACTGACCTCAAATGCCAACCAGGCACTACCTGTTTGCCTCACTTTTGCCCCCAAGATGACCACCCCCCAAGGGTCAAAAAACTCTGATGGGGTCACTGTAACCAGTGCCATCTTGTTTTCAGAGGCTCCCTTCTTTCCCCTCCCTGGAGCCTGCTTTCTAAGACCCTCCTCAGTTGAGCCCACTGTCCCAACACAAGTTCCTTCTGCCTGCAATATCCTTTTCTCCATCTCCTTCTGTTAAATATCTATTCATTCTTCAAGCCCCATGAGTGCCTCCTGCTCTAAGAGACCTTCTTTACCTGCCCACCTCCCCTCCTGCAGCAGGGGCTTCTGCCAGGACCTGAGGCTCAGTGGTCAGCACAGGGGAGGAAAGACCATGACTGTGGTAGGGGGAGTCAGGAGAGCCTCCATTGGCAGCCTGGCACCCAAAGGCTCTGTGACCTTGGGCAGGCGTCTCCCTGGGTACCCAGGACACCCAGCCCCCACCCAGCTGTGACAGTGTCTGACAGCCTTCCCCACAGCCAGCTTCAGCCCAGCTGCCTGCAAGCACCCGAACCCATGATTTTCTCCCACTCGGCCCCACCCTCCTTCTGGGACTGGGGCTATGGTTGATTCATGAAGAGGCACATGAGGACACCTGGGGTGACCAAGGGTTGACTGCAGTGTGTCAGGGCCTGAAAGTGTCTAGTACCAGCCTGGACCAAACTTCCTGCCCTGCCCCTCTCCTCAGTGCCTCACTTCTGTGGGGTCATCTCTGTGCAAGAACCTCTAATCCAGCTCTCCCTGCAACCAAGCACTCATCCTGCCTCCTGGCCTTTGCATAAACTTTCTCCAAGGGCTGGTTCCAGTACCCCTCCAAGCTCTCTGAGAAGCCTTCCCCAGCCATCAGCCCCACCAAGGCAGAATTAAGGGTGAGGCTTTGACGCAGGTTCAGAACACATGCACTCATGAGCCCATGTCCTATTCAAGGACTCCCCAAGGAAAAAAAAGAGAGTCAGGGCACCCACAGAAGGGAAGGGGCTTGGCTGCCAAACCTGCAGATGAAAAAATTCCAGGTGAACATGTCAGTGAGGCTGCCCCAGCACCCTCCTACGCCATCATGGCCCTCAGCTTCCACTATCCCTCCCTCCTCAAGGACATGCCCTGTCCTCCCTGCTGCTACCTTTGCCCAGCATGAGGGACACCAAACTCAGGAGGCCAAGCTCCAGACCCTGCAACATACAGGATCCAGCCAAAAACCACATCCCCAAGGCAGCACAATAGTTGAGGAGGAAGGCCAAGGCCCTAGTCCCCGTTGTGCCCTATACCTGTCTAGGAGTGCCTGGATTAAGTGGCCTGGGCAGCAAGGAAGGCCTCATACCCTGCCTGAGGCCAAGGAGGTGAGGCATCCACATCGGTCCCATCAGATCATGGGGTATTCTCTCTATTGTCACTTCTAAATTCTAGCCTGTTGTATGATGTGAGCAGTCCACATGCCCAACTGGGACTTGGATGGATGAGGGCACAGGCAGGCAGGTGCAGGTGAGTATAAGTGGGGTGGAAGCCAGGTGCGATGGCACATGCCTGTAATTCTAGTAGCTCAGGAGGCTGAGACAGGAGGATCGCAAGATCAAAGCCAGCCTCAGCAATGGTGAGGCACTAAGCAACTTAGTGAGATGCTGTATCTAAATAAGATACAAAATAGGGCTGGGATGTGGCTCAGTGGTCAAGTGCCCCTGAGTTCAATTCCTGGTACCCGACCAAAAAAAAAAAAAAGTGAGGGGTGGAGTGGGAAATTCCAGGGTCAGGACACTGAGATTCCCATTGATACCATCCAGTGAGGAAGAGAATCTGGGTGCAGTAGTCCCCACCCCAACTAAGCTCAGAACTCACCATCTAGCCTGCCCTCCAAACACAAGTCTGTTCCCTTCTTCTGTCTCTTGTTTTTCTATACTGTACCAAGGAGTTAGCCAAGCAGGGCTCTACCTCTCAGCTACATCCCCTCTAAGTTACACCCCCAGTCCTTTTTATTTTATTTTTTAAATTTTGAGACAGGGTCTTGCTAAATTGTGAAGGCCATCTTGCAATCCCCTGCCTCAGCTTCCTGAGGTGCTGGGACTATAGAACTGAGCCACCATGCCTGGCCTTCGGTCTCCTTTTTATACTGAGGGAGACCTTGACGTTCATCTAGGGGCTAGCGAAAGGGGCAAGCTGAGGCTTCTAAACGTCAGGAAGGTCAGGCCTGAGTCCCAGCTGGGGGGTGGAGAGATGGATGAGAAGTGGAAAAAGAGAGGGAAAATGGGAGAAGCAGGAAGGAAGAAACCCAAGCTCCCCTTCTCTTCCCTCTGCCAAGACTCTCAATAGAACTACAATCCTGTCTGCCCGGCAAGTGAGGTTTGGGTCCCTGCCACCTCGCTGGGTATGGGTCTTATGCCCTCTCCAGAAGCTGGAACTGCGGGAAGGGCAGCCCAGGGCCTGGCACAGACAGGAAGGTCAAGGGGAGACAGAGCAGTATCAGGTTATCTCCTCAGTGACGTGGGGGCATGGGGAGAGAGAGAAGGGAATAAGCCAGAAGAAGGGCGCTGTTGAGAGGACCAGAGGGGCAAAAAGGATGGAGGCGCCAGGGAGTGGCCTCCGGGCAGAATGGGCTGGGGAGGGGTGGCCGGCGCGCTCACCTGGTCACCGTGCGCCGTGCGCGCGGGCTGTGCGCCCTCTCCAGGCCCAGGCGCGCCCCGATGCCGGCCAGCACTAGCAGCGCGGCGACGCCGCACACAGCGTAGACAGCCGTGTGGCTGCGCTCGCGGGCCGGGTCCCGGGGCGCCGCGGTATCGCGGGCGCGAGCAGGCGGCCGGCCAGTCTGCACCCAGGCTGGTGTGTCGTAGTTGGAGCAGCGGCTCTGGTCAAGACGACGCGGCCCGTCGTGGCAGCAGAAGCGGTAGCCGCACGTGCCGCAGCAGAAGCTGTAGGCGCCGGAGCTGCAGTTGAACGGCGGG